GTTTTGTCTTCGGGGGATAACCATTCCACTGTATGGGGAGCCACTCGTCCGCATAACAAAGGAAGAAGAAATGGTTCTTCGAGTCGTGGATAGAAGTCGGGGTCCCCTTAAACATCTTTAGGTGGGGACGTGCGGACAACCTGGAACCCATCACAGTTTTGGGCGACGACCTGGAAGAAGTGGTGAAAAAGGTCCAAGCTCGGGGGATGTCCTCCGAACGGCAACGAATGAGGAAAGCTGAAATGAGCCGATAGGAGTTCGGCGTAAACTGGGCTTGGACGACGTAGTAACAGCGAAAGAAGTCAAGGTAAAACTGGTGTAGGGGGAAGCGAAGTCCGGCCTTGAGGGAGTCCATATGCACCATGATCATCCCCGGACGTCTCATAAACAGATTATCAGCACCCCTCGGGCTATAGACGAATGGCGGGGGAAGTAGGGTTTGCTGTTCCTTCAGAGCCGTGCGCGAGAAGGACTGCTCGATCCCAGCAACATTGTGGATCTGCACAATATGACGGGTGGCGTCCATCGGAATGCCAAGATAAAAAACACAAAGATCGTCCCCCTCGACCGCTTCATCGCCGGAATCATAATCAGCTAGCCATTCGTCCTTTAATGGTTGTTTGGACCTCCGCTGCCCAAGCACCCCCAGGGGCAGTCTCCATAGCGACTTCTGTGCCCGCACCATCAGGCACAACCGCCTCCACCATAACTTGCCCCACTACGTCGGAAGCGCCAGAATGAACGGAGGTACCCACCTCCCCAGAGGAACGAGAACGGGAACCCGAACCAGAAGAGAAGCCAGTAAAAGAACCCGATCCGGAGCTCGAGCCGGAGGATATTTCCATAGAACATACCATAGCAAAAGACAAAGCAAGGGGAGAAGAAGATTGGGCTCAATTACCTGAGGAACTTCGAAGGGACGGAGCGAAGAGCCGGAGAGCACTTGCATGAGGGCTTGAAGACAATGGCGGACAAGGCAGAAGGTAGAAACCCTAATCCACATGGGAGATCCAGTATTTATAGGAGGATACACCACTCCATTAGCCAACCCGCAGATGACACATGGCGAGGAGCATACCAAGGGACACGTGTTGCGTGGAGACGGACAAGCGCGAAACGATGGCTTTTATCTCGGGAGTTGAACGAGCCGCATAACTACCGCCTAGAAGTGGGGGACTTGTGTTTGGTTAATGGCCCAATAAGGGCCGGCCCATCAACCTTTAGTGATCACCTACAGACGTTCAACTAAAGGTCCAAGAAGAAGGCCCAAGGGCCAGGGACGTACGTAGTCCATAACCAGCCAGTATCAAGGCCTAAGGCCGGGAGGCGTGCGTGTTCCACTGACAGGAAGCAACCAGGCCTAGGGTCCCTACGAGGTGCATGGGGACGAACGTCCCCACCCCTCAATAGGTGACCAAGGGCGGCTCAAGGATAGATCCATGACAGCTCAAGTGCATGAGGATGAACGTCCCCTCTCCCATTGGCAGGGAATCGGGAATCCAGCAGGAGATAAGGGCCAGGCCCCTGGAGACGAACGTCCCTTACCCAATGGCGAGAATCCAGGATTCTGGCGGGAAGCTCACTTAATGCAGAAGATTTGGTGGTGGGGATCAAGCCGCCCACAGCTCGCCACGTCAACATGCCCAACCACCCATTGGCGGTATAAATAGAAACATTTATTTCACTGTAAAGGGTTCGCAATTTAGCACTCTAGCTCTCTATCAGTAATATCAGTTCATAACATAGCACAGTACGTTCGGCCCTTCGGCTTGTAACAGTTTGAGTTAGTGAACACAGTTTGTTTAACATATTTCCTGCTTATTTCTCCATCTACTTGCCCATCTTTCCACTCGAACCCTCCAGGCTACGTGTTAGGCCTGTCGATTGAAGGAATAAACCTCAACAATGCTCAATATTTAATATTGCACATCCAATGGCCTGCCTCAAACGCTAGGCCCCAATGCCGCCCAGCAACCTATCACAACTGGACCTGCCCCAGCGCCGCCCAATATGCTCCCCGAGAAACGTCCTTACCCCAACAACCACCTCCCTGCCTCGAGCCCTTTTATGACTCTCCCTAGCCCACACAACCTCCACTCTGTCCCTCTCCTTAGCACGAATCATTGTCACAGAATTGAAATCGCTATCAATTCGAAACCCTAACACCAACAACCACAGTCATCGTTGAAGTGATGAGAGCGATGATGCTAGCGAGCGCCTACGATGAAAGAGAAGCGCATAGGAAGGAGAAGATGAACCTCACGTCGACGTCACAGACCTCCACTATCGCTTCTTGGTGGCAACGCACTGGTGCTCTTTGACTTCTTTGATGGCATCACGCTGGTGATCGCCTCTTGGTCGATGATGAAGGTGAGAAGCAAGGTCGAAGATGAAAGAGAGAACCAGAGTCTATGATGAAGGAGATAAGTGGGGCATGTGATGGGAAGATGTGGATTTGGGGATATTAAATCTAGTCACTTTTTTGTCCACATATAAAATGGTCATATTTTGTCCATCTTTCCTATTAAACCCCACAAGTAATTTTTTACCATTCTTTCCTATTATAACAGTTAAATGGATTTCATTTTTATCTAATATATGTTTCTAATCCAGCTCTACTATTTCTTTAATACAAGTATATAGATTTGCCTAAGAGTTCACAACAGACCTAACCAAAAAATCAATTACGAAAACATACCAGAACTGTTAAGTTGTTAGTTGTGTGGGTATATAAGTGATAAATATGGGCAATAAGCATGAAATTAGATAGTGTTATACATGGGTAGTGAATGAATGCATTGTGGAAGTATCTTCTGTAGTGAATTGAAGGCAATAGAGAAATAATGATGGCACGATATGTAATATATTTAACGCGACGTAACATACTAATTTAAAGTTATTATATATATCTAAAAGTAAATCAATAAAGAACTTTAAAAAATTCCTAACGGGGATGAGCAGTGAAACAATGTTGGCGGGTAGTGCAGTGATTCTTACCGGATATGCAATAATGTCGTACAACAACCGCATTGTAAAGTGCAATATTTTTAATTAGACAAAAATTGTGTAAAACATTTTTAAATAAATGTATTTTGGTCATTAAACATTTTTATATGAACGATTTTTTTTTTGAAATCCAATAACTTCATTACTTCAAATCATGTCTGAAGACATGGATAATATAATTAGGTGGATTATCAATCCAAATACCGACAGACCCAGAACAGACTTCCCTAGCAAGTATATGGGCAGCCTGATTCGCTGAACGGTGCATATATTGGACATTTATATTAGAAAACTCAGCCATCATGTGTCTAATATTTAGAAAAATAATATCATTATAATGAATGTCATCCTCTTTATGAAGTCCCTGCACAATGTGTTGAGCGTCTGATTCCACTATGATCCTTTGCCAACCCCGCTCCTTAGCCCATCGAACCGCTTCCTCAATTGCCATTGCCTCTGTCGTTCCCGCTGAAAATCGACCCCATTTTCTTATATTTTTACCTGCAAGAAACTGGCCATGACTATCTCAAGAAACCAGCCCCAAACCTCTCGTATCTTCCTCGGTTGGTACAGAAGCATTCACATTTACTTTCACAAAACCTGCATCCGGAGCCTGCCATTTACCTCTCTGCTCTTTTTCTATCCATTCCCGAAGCTTGGACAGTTGTGCCTCCTGCCACCCCTCTAACATGGCGTCGCCGCAGGTGAGAACACTCTTCCAGTTTGGTTTTAAATTCTTCCACATGCACCTTCTCATTCCGAGTTTTCCACAAACTCCAGGTAGCCATGATGAACTGGCCGAACTCGACCTTCGAGCTACTATCTGCCACCTTGCTTGCCCATTCGCCGAAACTAGCAGCTGCTAGTTGAAGGAACTTCCGGCTAGTCATACGATTGTCTAAAGACATAGCTAGTCATATTTAGGGAAGCTCATATGTTTTAGTGATATCCCAAAAAAAATCTCTCATTTTCATTTTCTTTACTCTTACTTTTCTCTTTTCCATGGTTCAAGGCTTCAAGCCATTCTATGTTATTTTTCCTTTCATTTTAAATTAATTTATTATAGAAGAAGCAAAGCCAGGTCATCATGATATTACTTTTTTTTTGTATCACAGACATTTAATTTAAAACATGTCCCACTCAAGATGTGAATTGCTCAACAAAAAATAATTAATCAATAACTTATACTAATATAAATCACCCTTATATTAAATTATATTGAGTGATAACTATTTATAAAGAGGTTTTCCATAGATATATCAAAATATAACTAATGGACAAAATTTTTGCTATAGTTACTAAGCATAGTCACTATAATAATAGAGTTGATCACTCATTAAAGTTACTATAATAGTCATTAAGTCATACTTTTGTCCACTATCTTCATTTCATTTACATATTTGTCATTATTTCATTTAGAAAAAGCTAATTTTACCAAGCACTTTTTGACAACCAGCTAAACAATCAGCTAATCAAAATGGCTAAATCAATCAACTAATTAATCGCTAACAAACGGGAAGTATAACAATGCCTTAATTAAATGGTACCCAACAAAAATAGGAGGGTATCATACCTAGGATGCATTTCATTGGTCCAACTCAAAGTTTTACATTTTATTTACATTTAAATTATTCAATTGAATTTTTTTTATTGATCCATACTATCAAGGTACCATACCTTCAAAGTACCATAGAAATTGTCTAATTAAATTTGGGTGGGGTGTGCTCAATCTAATCTCAAGGGGTAGGTGGCCACTTTTGTGGGTTTGCGTACAAGGCATATATACCCTAATGCGTACAGCGTACCAATTCCTTAGCTTACTTAAACCACATTTTCTCTAATACTATATCAATTGTTAGGCAATTAAGCAGGCAACCGACCTTACTATTATTATTATTATTATTATTATTATTATTATTATATATATATATATATATATATATATATATATATATATATATATATATAGTGATCGATTATAAGTAACTTGGTCTTGCTGATTATTATCTATCAATCCATACACCTTGTTGAAGTATAATAAGCTGGAAACGAAAAAATGAACAGACTCTACGGTTCAGCAACGTTGATCATGGTTTTGGTTCTGCCATGTTTGATGGCTTCATCCCTTTCCCGGGATTTTGATTTCTTCTACTTTGTTCAACAGGTACATACATATTTTTCTCAGATTTTCAACCCCATGCATGATATATATGCTATATTTATAATTTCCCTTTTTATTTGGACAAAGAGTTGTTATTGAACCGAGTATTTTTTGAACTATTCGAGGTCGAGCTCGATTTCGAATCTAAAGAGCTGTGAACTCGAACAATAGCTAGATTTTGAGTTCAATTATTTATTCGAACCTGAGCCCATCGAGCACTTCTAAATTATAGAAATAAATCACATACTTCCTCCATTCCGTTGAAAGCTTCTCATTTTCCTTATGAGTGTATCATTTAAAGGTTCTCATTTAAAGGTACTCTTTCCACTTTAGAAAATAATTTACTTTCTTTATTTCACACGTTTACTCAAATTTCTCTTTTCTATTCATAACACCAAGTCTCACAATTTCTCTTCCCCAACTTATCTCCCTTCAATTACTTTCACTTTATATGTTTATTTTTTCTAAATTTCCTCTTTCCTCTTTGTTTTACCCAAATTACTTTATTTAATCAGTTGCCTAAAAATTGTGCAATTTACTCGCGGGAACCTTACAACGGGAAGGAGGGAGTATATCTTGCAATTTAAACATTTTAGAACAATTTATTATTATTAAAGATTATTTATGATATTAAAGATTCGAGTTTCTTTCGAATAATTGAACACAATGTGCATAGTTTATCGAACTTATAGAGCGCTCGAATCGGACACCAAACTTCTATCGAGCCGAACTCAAACTCTATTTATATAGCTCGTCGCACTTTGAGTTCGAGCGCAAACATTAGTATATTACATTAAGGGTTAATTATCAAAATAGGACTATAAGTCACTCACTTTTCACAAATAGGACCTAAAAATAAACTATGTTTTCATAGGACTAATTATGTGTGTCTTGGACAAATATACCCTTATAGCTATTGAAATGTTTTAATTCATAATAAAATAATAAAAAATAATAAAAATTCGTATAAAATACTAAAAAATTAATAAAAATATTTCGATAATAATTATTTATTTATTTTTCAAAAAAGAAAAAAAAAATTAAAAAAAAAAACTCAAAAAAATAAAATAAAATTCACCGCCGCCTCTGCACCACCACCTCCAGTTACCGGGGAAACAAAATGCCAAGTTCATTATGAATGCCATATTTATGGCAGAAAACAATGAAAATGTTGGTATTCTCAAAGAGAAATATGCCATGTTTATGGCATTTTCAGAAAAAAAATAGCAGTTTTTAGAAAAAATGGCATTTTTTTCACAGGCCGGAGATGGTGGTGCAGGGAGGTAGTACAGGCGGTGGGAAAGGCGTCCATAACTTTTTTACATTTTTTTTTTGGAGTTTTACTATTTTTTATTAATTTTTTTAAAAAATTAAAAAACTAAAAAAAAAAATTTAATTTTTTATTTTATTAATATTTTATAAATTTTTTAAATATTTTTCTACGATTTTTTGAATTTTTTTCGAATTTATTATGAATTAAACATTTAATTAACTCATATTTAAAGGAAGGGTAAGAATGGAATGAAAAAATAGGTATGTTTCCAATAGAACTAATACGGTCCTATTTTGAAAACAAAAACATAGTAAGTCCTATTTTGAGTTTTTGCTATAGTTTTAGTCCTATTTGGAATAATTTCTATTACATTAATGAAACAAATTCAAAGTCTTCATGTTCGGGCTCGGCTCGTTAATAATTTTGGCCAAGTTGAACCAAACAAAGAGGGCTGATGACTTTGGCTCCTTTATTATTTCCAGTTATTTATCTGTTCTTTTAATACTCCGTATATTCATTACGTTACCGGGAAATTCATCATTACGTTACCGGGAAATCACCAAAAGAAAGTAAAATAGCAAAAGGGCTTAATTATCCATTTACACTCCCATCCTTAAAAAGGGTCCTCATAGACACCTTAATTGGTTTTAATCATTCTTGCAGAATCTTAACTGAACATGTCTTTGTTGGTTTTAATCTTTCTATCTTATTTAAGAGAAGGTGGTTTTAATCATCCACTCTCAAGTTTCTCCTTTTTGAGAAGTTTTGGATTCAATTCTCAATTAGGGAAATGAGCTGAGGGAGATCTTGCTCCCCATGATTCTTCCTATTTTCACGATTCATCAATGGAGTTAGTATCGACGAGACTGACTTGATATCAAAAAACATACTATAAGGAGAATTTAATACCATACAACACCTTGAAAATTTAATATAATTTTTTCCGGATCATCAATCGAATAAGTTATTTTTTTAATAAAATACTTAACTTTTGATTCTGAATAAATAAAGTTGTAGTTACTATTTTTTAGTGAACTTATTTAAGATGACTATTTAGCTTTTTCCATATACTACTTTTCCTTTAGTTTATAACGCAAGAGGACATCAAAAAGTTTGATTTCTAGACAATACTCTCAGTGGAATCAAAAGAATTCAGGAAAATTAAGTACGAATGATATGGTAGAACCAACTAAAATTCAGCTCACAATATATAAAAAGGGTTTTTTTCAAGAATATTACTAAAATAAAATATATTTACGTAAATATGACTATTCATTACTACAATGTGGTGTTGTGGTAACTTAAACTCAAAACTTGAACATGAATTACTACGATTTCATTACCACTCTAGTCACTTGTCATATTTTTGTAGATTATCTTTATTTTGGTCGTATTTATGTAATTATTTCATATAAAAATTGTTCTTGACTCGGATCAATCTTGGCTCGGATCACACTACTAAAATTCGGTGGCACGGGTTTGGCTCGAATATCAGCAATTTATTGATTACATTTGTTTCAAAAGTTGGCTCTAATTTTGACACAGAATATCAACGGTCAAGTTTGGCTCGATTGTTGTGGTCGAACTTTGGCTTCCAACCAACAACATTTCATATTTGCTCTCAATCCGTGTCAAAATTTGGTTAAGTTGGCGCTGAATAGTTTTGGACCAAAAAATATATTGAATTGACACCATTTGGTTTGACTCGGATTACAATCCGTGCCAAATTTGGTTCGGTGTTAGGCACAAATTACTATCACACCCAAAATTGAATTCAAATGGTACGTACTATGCGTAATGAAAGGATTATTTACACGCTACCCGTACAGGTAGCTCAGTTGGTTCAGTGGTGGGAAATTTGGATCAAGTGACCAAGGTTCGAAACCCGCAGCGGCCGTGTGGAGGTCACAGAACCCGAAATAAGGTTGGGCCTCTGGTGCGCACGGGAAAAAGGCATACCATCATTGGGTCGACTAAGTCACCGTGATTAACATCCTCCCAAAAATCCTGTCGGGTCGGGGTATGGGGGGCTCCTGGGGTGGGAGATTCCACCTTTTGGATCAAGGATTATTTACACGTTATGGACTCATAATGAAAGGTTGATGCCCAACCCCAAGGCCCCTCCACCCCGACCCGACATGATGGTGAGGAGGTTGGTGACTCAGTCAACAAAGCAGCAGTAGCCTTTACCCGTGCGCACCAGAGAGCTAGCCTTATTTCAAGTTCCGAAAATCCCCTTTTAGCCGCTGTGGGATTCGAACCTTGGTCTACGTCCAATTTACGTATATCAATCTCAAGTGTGGGATATTGTGGCAAAATCCGGCCCAGATTGTGACAAATTTCCGTGCATAATATGGAAGTGTTTTGATAGTAAACTAATACTCCGTACTAGTAGTAGATTTTAGATACAAGTTTTTATGGACCAACATTCCATTAATTTCAATAACTCACAGTTAGGTAAAGGTAATCAACATAAATTTGGTGAGCACATTATGCTTAAATTATTTAAACTCCGATCCTATACTTAATATTTGTGTGGTGTGTTTAAACTGTGAATAGTGGCCGGGCGCGTACTGTAGTCAACGGTCACGGAGCTGTTGTTATCCGAAGAGTGGAAAGCCGGCGGAGGATTTTAGCATTCACGGCCTTTGGCCTAACTATCTCAGTGGCAAATGGCCTCAAAACTGTGATCCTCAAAGCTCTTTGGACGAATCCCAGGTATATATATCATAAATAAATGCAATATACTTCCACCTTAGCTTCAAGAAATTTGATTTGACAGATTTTGGTCTTTTGGATAGAAAAAAAGTAAAAGTTGACTTTTCAAAGTAAAAGGTGTAGTAGTAGTCCAAATAAAGTAAATGAGGTAAATGAATAGTAATGTAGGGGACAAATGAGTACCTTCACACCAAAAGCTTATAGAAAAATAAAAGTAAGGGTGTAAGTTAACTTTGAGAAGGATATAGTATAATTTAATCTCTTCATGCATTGCACATTTGCACTTCATGCTCTACCCTATGCTAAGTACCACTGACTACTAAAAATAAAGTGTAGCAGTTAGAACTTCAACTGCTCTTTTTAAAATTGTACAATAAGTATCCCATAAAATTCATAAAATTCTTCTCACGAAGATTTAAAGTGGAATAAAGTGGAAACATATGGTTGTGGTTGTGTAAGAAAAAAGTGAAATGAATGTGAACTACACAAATTGTCCAAAAATGATAAGTGAGAAGAATTTTTTGGGACGACCCAAAAAGGAAAATGGGAAGATTTTCATGGGACGGAGAAAGTATTATATTGGCGTAGTACACCCTTCATGTGGTCTAATTAAATGTGGGTAATCGAGTAACGATTTACTTTAGAATTTAGATAACAATGTTTCAAAATGGGAGATTCACAAATTAGAATTGAGGTAACTAAAGAGTTATGATGTAGTGTTTGGAATTGATTATGCTTTTGTTTCTCTTTTAAAAGCAGAAATAGAACTAACATCTGTTTTACGGAATTTGATGTCCCATATTTTCTAAAAAACTGCTTCAAAATTTAATTTGGATCACTTAGAAGTACTTATACATTTACCCAATCACTACAATATATGTTTCTGCTTTCTAAAGGAGCATAAACAATATTAAGAAGTAGATTCAAAAACCCGTTGTATTAGATTTGAGTCAATGACCAAATGATTAAAGCTAAATGGAAAAATAACACCGGTCAAGAGGAAGAAACTTATCAGAGCATTGGAGCATTGGAGCTGAGATGGAAAAATAATGAGCTGAGATTAAATCCAAATCTGGACCAAAATTTCAGAGAAAAGTAAGGTCTATTCAAATTCATCTCCAATGCAAATGTAAAACAGTAAAATGAAATAACAAAGAAAAACTAAATAGAGGGAATAGCGCAAATACAAGACCAAAAGTCCTTGTTGTCTTTGTCAGAAGGTGAGACCCAAGTTCTCAATATGGACCTTGTCCCGGTCTTTGTTCCAGATTTGAAGTGCCATGTCATCTACAATGCACCCATTTTATTTTGTATTGGAGGGTAGACTTTCGTTTCAGTTCTACATTTGATGTGTGGATGTGCAATGGACTTGTGCATTGGAGATGCCTAGATGCTCATTATTCTTTAAAGATCTCCGAATATGCTAGTTTCAACAACTCTAGTTTGTTTCAAAGTTTACATTAAGAATTCAAGTAAAATTAGGTTTCACCCAGCTTCAATCCATCATATATAGCCATAAGCCCAGAACATATCTCCTGTTGCAAATGCATCAATGTCATTGGAATTATTTTGGCAATATAGACTAACTAGCTTTCAAGCCCGTGCGATGCAGGGGCAGTATGTAATTTAGCTAATTTGAAATTTAATTTTTATCGGATCACATATAATGTGATTTAAAAGAAAAATAAACTTAGTCTAATATAGAGTCTTTTTGATAATACTAAAGTAAATAGAATTAACTTATTTTGCTGAAATTGATTGAATTCTGATTAAATAGGTGGAATCTTCTGAATCATGAAAAATATATGTGAAATATACTCCATTTGTGAAACAAAGAAAAAAATATATGAAAAAAAGTTAAATTGGTCTTCTACATAAGCATCTCAAGAAAACATAACTGTTATGAACCCAATAATAATAAAAAATCTATATTTCTTAATCGTTAGATCTTACAGTTTACTCATTAATAAGAACGTTTTTAATTGAATTAAAATTTCGGGTTTGATTTGGTATGAATTAATATGGTCTATTAGATGTCTTTTTTTATGTGACTTATTGTTATAATTATTAAAGTTTGATCTGATCTGATTTAATCTGGAACTGAAATCAATCCAATTAAAAACATTCTATTAAAATAAAAGTAGGAATTCGTAAACCTATAAAGATTTTCTAATTTGGATTAGGAGTCTATTTCAAAAGTGAATGCATATTTGAATTTTAGGTGTAAAATAAAGAAACAACCAAAAAAATTTACTTATTTGGCTAAGCTAACCATATTTACTTGTGAAAATATATATACTTTATGTTGGTTATAACTTTTAATTTCATTTTTAATTATTTACTTATTTGAAGCTTACTAATTTATTAATAGGTGTCAATCTAATAAGTAAACTAATTTGCATATTTGTTTCTATTTAATTCGGTGTACTAAACTAATATAAATTAGTTTCCATATCAATAAACGTTATTAGAATTTCACTTTGATAACCAGAAATTATTTTACATATTTGAAGCTTACCAAATTAATTAAGGTGGATTTATAAGGATTTTTGTTTCCATATCAATATGCAATCAAAAATAGAATCTAATAAAAACAAAAGGTATAAAAATAAGTAAATACTCCCTTCGTCCCAAAATTATTGTCCCATTTGATTTTTCACACAGATTAAGAAAATGGCACTGTAGCGACACTGTTTGGCACTGTAGCGACACTGTTTTGCATTGTTTTGCACTGTTTGACACTGTTTGGTATAGATTTGTTTACCAAATAAGGAAGTTTTAGAAACGGGACAATTATTTCGAGACGGACCGAAAAGGAGAGCGGGACAATAATTTTGGGACGGAGGGAGTAATTGTTATATATAATGACATGACAGAATTATGTGCCGCTTTGTATGCTCTTAAAAAATTTCTCTTTTATATACTGATCCAAAAAAAGGTGGAATCTCCCACCCCAGGAGTCCCCCCACCCCGACCCGACAGGATGGTGGGGAGGTTAGTCACGGTGACTCGGTCAGCAGAATGGCGGTAGGCACATACACCCGTGCGCACCAGAGGCCCAGCCTTATTTCAGGTTCTGTGACCTCCACCCGGTCGCTGCGGGGATTCGAACCTTAGTCCATTGATCCAAATCTCCCACCACTCGACCAACTGAGCTACCCGTGCGGGTTTCTCTTTTATATACTATCTATATATATTGATTATATATCCTAGTAAATAGCGATAATCATCTTATGGTTCCAAGTGAAATGCTAATTTTAATAAATCTAAAAAATGATACAAGTGCATTTTTAAAGTTCTATTAAAATGAAAAAATTAACATCTACATTTGCAACTTTTTTAAGCATTTGTCCTTTTTAACAAACAATAAAATTGTCATGCTGTCACATGCTTTCAATTGCTCTTATAAAATTTACAACTTTTATGTTTAAGAACTAATTAAATTATTTCTTTAAGGGTTTTTTACAAGAATATTACTAAAATAAAACTTATTTACATAAATATGACTATTCATTACTACAACGTGATGTTGTGGTAACTTAAGTACAAAACTTAAACATGAATTACTATGATTTCATTACTACTCTAGTACCTAATCATATTTTTGTAAACCATCTTTATTTTGGTCATATTTATGTAATTATTTCTTTCTTTAAATTAAATCTTTATATAAAAAAAACTAGTGGTGCTCGATGTAAATACAGATCTCAGATGTTATGAGTGCAATGGAGCAGCAATGGCCATCCCTTGCGTGCCCGAGTAGCGATGGGGTGAGCTTCTGGAGCCACGAATGGGAAAAACATGGAACGTGTTCTGGCCTTAACCAGCACGACTATTTTCAGAAAGCCCTCTCCTTCAAGACCAAAGCCAACCTTCTCCAACATCTTAACCAAGCAGGTATGAACTCTACTTTAAAACTCCACACTTTAAATTATGAAGGGACAGTTGACCGAGTGACAGGTTTTGACAACATGGGTCAATTCGGTCAACATTGAGTCCACATGCATATAGTGGAGCAAAAGTTGGAATGAGTGGGTATAAAGATTTTATCAAGTAAATATTTATACATCGAATTATTACACTAAACATACAAGCATTTTTTAAATTTGAAATGATGGAGCCATAGTCAGCCCCTACCTCATATCCTGATGGCTCTATCGAGTCAATAGTAATAAAATTTATAATAATATAAACACCTAATTATAGATCACACAAACTAAAATTTATGTCTTCGACTAGTCTCCGCCTAAGCGCTGGGCTGGTGCCCTAATAGCACATGTCGCCTTTTAGAACTTAACAATGAGTTTAACTATATATATTACTCCGTATATATGATCAATGAAATACTTTGTATGTAATACGGATTATTACTTAATTGGGAAGTACTGTCTGGCCATGGTTTACTTGTATTGGTCGGAACGAGTTTCCCGTGTAACCGGGTATTTAAAATTTTGCTTGTTTCCAGTTTCTCCATTGACTAGTCCATCTTTGGAATTAGATAAATCTTCGATATTTGGGTCGATCAATTAGAGTCGAGTCGATTTTCTCTCAGAAAAAAGTAATGAACTTTTTTACATGAAATCTAATCATTTCCTTTGGGGTGATGTTATGAATATTATATGAGTTTAATCTTGTATGTTCATAAGTCAGTTATTTATTTCTTGAGTTTGGATTAATCTCATACATTTCCGCTTTCATTAATATTAATCACATGTGACTCGTTTTAACTATCAAATATGAGTTTTTAAAAGTTAAAACATTATAATCAGATCTAGTTAAAGTGAAAATAGAGATATATAAATCGAGTTCAAACATGTGAATCTTGAACTCTGTGAGTAATAACACTACTAGTCTCTTCATTAGTGCCTTACCCCTTAGTCGCCTTCTAAACACTGCGCCTTATGTGAACATCATCTTGTCAATCAATAAAGTTTAATACTAATTATATGGAGTAATTAAAATAAAATAGGCCAAAGAACATTAATAATATCACTCTAATAACTTGTAATTATCACCACAATATATTATGCAACAACAGGAATTCGACCTCGGGACGGGGAAGATTACACACTAGAGGAAATAAAAGCAGCTATTAAGGAAGGAGTCGGATTCAATCCATTCATAGATTGCAATGTTGATTCATCAGGAAATCACCAATTATACCAAGTTTATCTTTGTGTAGACACTTCTGCACAAGATTTCATCGACTGTCCAGTTTTCCCTCATGGAGGAAAATGTGGTTCCAAAATTGAATTTCCTTCCTTTTCATCATCTGAATCTTCCCATGATGAATTTTAATTAATTTGTACACATATTTATGTAACGCCATTGCTCTTTTTTCCTAATGGATTATATATATAGCAATGGCTTGATGCTTCCTGTAATTAGTCTTTACTTAAGAATAAAGTGTCTCTAAGTATAATACATGTATTTCTACTACGGTAATAAAATTCATAATTGACACATGTACTTGTGCTTGCATTCCAATTAAAATAGAAACAATTACATACTCCCGGGTACGTAGTATGACTAAATTAAATTAGGTTGTTCACAAAAATGTTATTTCCAAAATACGGTGATTATAATAGTAACTTTAGTTATACTAAATTATGTTCAACTTTTATATACTTAAGTGACTATGAGACTATACTATAGTAGCTAATAGTCATAATTTTTTAAAATAAATATCATTTCAATAATATTTCTTAGAAAACCCATTAGAATAATTCACCTTTTGGTCAGAAGTCATGTTGTCTTTGTAGTGATGCCAACTCGATTGTACGTATTTGCGGCATCCCGCAAAGTGCTAGTTATAATTTAAAATTTTGAAATCAGATTCGGCAAATTTTATGGTACCCTTAATGCACAGTACCTTAATTATTTATGCGGATCAACTAAAATATTACACTTGAACAATATAAATATTAATAAATGATCATGAGGTGATGACTTGGATTAATCAAATTCTTGTACTGTTGTTTATTTTCTGTACGTTTTACTCCCGCATTGTACCCTTTCTTTTTATCAATAAAATTTCTATCTTTCTAAAAAAATCTGAGTGGCAAATGGATCATTATAAACTTCTCTTAGTTGCATGATTGGAGAAAATATAAAGAATGATCAAACTGGATTCCCGTGGTTGAATGATGGCATAACACTAACTGACATTTAGCTACTGAAATGGCTTCTTATGAAGTAGTTTGTGGTCAATCTCCTGCGACAATGTAGTAGAAGATGTGGAGAAGTTTGAGGTCTAAAGAAGAATGCATTGTCATGCCTAAGTTCCAACTAAAAAGGGCATAAGATGAGATGAAGAGTGAGGCCAATAAACAAAGGACATATAAGGAATATGCTACTCCCTCTACCCCTTGGTATTGGGATTTGGGATGGAAGGGAGTGGCACGCCAATCAAGACAAATAACGCAATTTTATGATAAAGTTATCAAATAATCAAGATGTAAAAAGTAACAAGCAAAATGAAGAAATAAAGAAGACCGATCAAAGAGCAAAAAGCCAACCGTATTAAAGTAGACCCCTATTACTCCCTCATTAAATTTACTTTTCACTTTTTAAATAAAATATGAGACATTAATAATAGGACGGTCAAAATAAAAAAATGAGACAATTATAACGGTATGCAGTATAATGAATCGGATTTATGTCAAACTTTAGCCACAATAGTCTATAACATATAGGGTCAACCAGGTTAGCTACAAAGTATTTTGAGCCATTTGAGGTTAGTAAATGAGTGGGAAATGTGGCCTAATGACCTATAGGTTGAACTTACCTCATCATGCTAGAATACATCTTGTATTCCACTTTTCACTAGACGATTCACTACAATTGAAATCTGAAACTATAGTTACTTTGAATCGAAAGATCAACAATTCTTGTTGTACACACTATACTGTTACACACACGTTTGTGAAGACATTTTTTGTCTGTCACTATCACAAAAAACACGTTTCGTTTGTGACTGATGCTGAATAGAAATCGAGCTTCGCTCGAACTCGGCTCGACTCAGCTCGATTAAGCTCGGACTTGGCTCGTATATTCGAGAAAACGAGTCAAGCTCAAACTCATTGGTTTACTCGATAAGGTTAACTAGCCGAGCTAGATCGACTCGAAAAACCCGGTGAAGCACGTAATAGGGCTCGTGAGATGGGCAAAATTGTCATTTTGTAGCATATTAGGTTTAGCCGTATAGGAGATTAGACCCACTTTAACAAGTTGTCGAGCTCGAGCTCGAGTAGCTTGACTCGGGTATATTAACGAGTCGAGCTCGAGCCATAAATTAGTTTAACGAGCCGAGTTCGAGCCCAAATATAGAATCGAATTTCTAACGAGCCGAGCTTGAGCCAGGCTCGAAAAATGAGCGAGTCGAGTTCGAATTTGTGATACCCGGGCTCGGCTCAGCTCGAATAACAACACTATTTGTGACAGACATAAAATCCTTCAAAGATGTGTGTAAAAATGTGTACAACAATAATAACGTGTACAAAAGGCTTTTTTCTAGAAAGATATACCTATATATTGGTCTAACCTGAGAGCTATATGATGAATTTTTGAAGAAGACATGCGTATTTGAGACATTAGATATGATTGAATTGAAACAAAAAAAAATAACAAATTTTTAAACCAAATGTTTTATATTAATATTAGAGCCCGTTTGGTAGTTTACACATTAAACTTTACATGCAAAATGATTGCATGTAAAGTTTAGGACAGTAAAATGGTTTGCATGTAAATAAACAATGTAAAATGTATACATTCCACACTTTACCAGAAAAGTGTTTACTTTACGTCATAACAAATAACCCTTAACCCATTTATTATCTCCGCGCACCCACAATTATTTACGGATTTATCCTACCTACATATTGCTCACTCAAAAAGATGAGTTATGCTGCGCATTAGCCCATCAGCGTAAGTATGATCCTCATTTTTTTTCTTTCTTTTTTGTTAAATTACGAAAACAATTGTACTTAAATAAAACATTTTTGTATTCATTTGCTTTAATGTTTTTAGAATACAATTATCATCATTTGAAAAGTTAAAAAATGCCATTTACGGAGTATTAATATTGCCGATCGTAGATAAATTTAATATGGGTGATTTTGCATTATTCACATGCCTTATTTTGATTGAATTATACTCCTTCCATTCCACAATTAAGCTTTTGGATGCACTTTTTGAGTCAAGCTGAATAAAATTTTGATCGTCAATTATTCATAATTTATATTACTTTAGCATACAAAATTATTCATTTGACTGTATTCCCGGTTGAATTTTCAGCTGAAATTTGGTATGAGTAAAATAGACTTAATGAAGAAGATGCTCAAAAAAAATTCATCAAACAATTTCACCGGGAACCGCCACAAATGACGACGGCCGAAGAGAGCATCCTATAAAAGGGGTGATTTACACTTTTTCGATTAGTTCGAGGGCTTATTTGCCCCTTTTCCCAATTTATAATAAAAGAAATTGAAAAATGAATTTCAAATACATAATTTTTGAATAATTAATAAATGCAGTACTCCCTCTATCCCCAGGGGCGGAGGTAGAGGAGGGCCAACTGGACCCCGATCCTCTCCAAATTGAAAAATTCTTTGTATTTCAGTGTAAAAAATTATCTGAGAACCTTTTTTTTGTATCGGCCCACCTCAAACTTTGATCCTAGCTGCTCCCCTAACTATCGCCCAATTAACTTCCCAGTTTTAACTTTTACGGTCTTCTAGGTTGACGTTGATCCTACATAATAGAGAATGAAATATATTATTGATCAAAAGTGTGTGTTGCCAGTAAAACTTTTTACATGCTCAAACACATAATTGAATTGTCAAATACAGAAATGTTTTTACTAATTTTCGACAATGACCAAGATTAGGATGTACCAACACTATTTTATGGGCACACATATGAAAGACATTGAGATTTAAACAATAGTAAAGTTCAGATCAATTAATCATTTATCAGATTAGATTTAAACATATCAAACTAGGACATTTTTTCAAAATTTTATATACACAATATTGGTGTTATATAAAAGTTCATAAAATTGGATACATTTTATTTTTTTTAAAGATCGGAATATAAATGAAGAAGTATGACATTTTTAAAAAAAACATTTGAGCGCCACATGACACTTGGGATGTTTTTACTTGGACTGTAGTTCATCCCAGACCAGACCAGACCAGACCAGACTTGAATAATTATAAAAATACAAAGAAACCAGACCAGACCAGTACAAACCAGACCAAACCAGACCAGACCAGATCAGACCAGACCAGCAAATTACAGTTGTTATACCGTGGGAGCGGTGCACGGTGAGCACCCTGCTCCCACAATCATATGAAATGTAAATCGTTTGAAAAAACATGTAACTTCAGATTAATAAAAATGTAAATTACACTCATTCAAATGTAACTCATTAAAATGTAAACTGCTTAAATTGAAATGTAACTTGGAAACAGGTTAGATGTAACTTGGGAAATGTAACTTTAGCCTATTTATATGCAAAACGTCTTTACAGAGATGTAACTACATTTATTAATCAATACATATAAAGCAATGACTCCATCCATCAACATAAACACAATGGAGATGGAGATAAATACCCAATTCTTTTATATACGAAGTATATATAAAAGAACACACTTCCCTTCCCAGATTCTTTCCACAAAATCAAAGAGCATTATAATAGATTTAGGTTCAAAGCAAGCAGAGACATAGAATCGTTTTTACAAGCAGCAAAACATATACGCAGAGCTTCTTCAACAGATTCAGAGCTTTCTTTTCAGGGGTGGGGGTGTCAATTCACGATTCAAAGAAGCGTACAAAGAAAAACTCATTTGAATTGGTAGGGGACTGCTCTGCAAAAATCCGGATCAAATGAGGGCTTGCGATGTATTCTGTGTCTCCAAATCGAATCTGCGAGGGGAGGAACGACCTGTCTAATAGTTGGGAAGGAAGAAGATGACTTTTTTTAATTAAAACTGCGCCGTTTAAGGATAGGCACACCGTGCACACGGTGGGCCGATCCCACGGTATAATCTGCGGGTAAGTCATGTGTAGCGTATGCAGTTCTAAGTTCTAAGGAGCCATTTTAATTTGGGAAAACTGTCAAATAAGCCCCTCTACTTTGTACGGAAAGTCAATTAAGCCCCCCGACTCTAAATTCGTTCATTTCAGTCCACGAAGTCTAAAAAAACAACCAATTAGGCCGTTTGGAAGGTTACCAACCGGTAACCCCGTTCACTGCTTATGTGGCAGCCTAAGTGGGAGTATATTAAAAAATAAAAAACTAAACCCTAAACACAAGTCTGATTCTTCTTCCTCCCTGGGTCATAACAGTCGTCGTCTTCGAACGAAAGCAGATGGCATCTTCATCCGCATCTACTGCCACTAAAGGACGAAGTTCTACTCTTTTGTATGAACCGCCTGTGTATTGCCTTTGTGGATTGAAATCTCCCTTGTGTGTTGTACGCGAAACAGGGAGAAGTTTTTATG